AGTATTTGCTATTGACTGCTCAAATGCGGAGTTCGTGTGTGTGTGCATGCGCGTGTGTGTGTGTGAGAGAGAGAGAGAGACAGTGTCACATCAAAGTGGAGTCAGCTGTCTTAACCGCGGCTTTTGTACTGCATCATTACTGTGTCTGTTCCCCTTTCGGGCTTGAACTGATGGTAAAATTAATGACATTATTTACTGTCTTTACATTTATTTTGAAAGATGAAGCTCGCGATTATGGTAAGGGGCGTTACATTTCCGCCGAGTGCTTGCGGTGTTTGGCCAATCACAATGCACTGGGTCAGCTGGCCAATCAGAGCAGACTGCGCTTGTCGGAAGGAGGGACTTTGTAGAAAACGAAGCATTTGAGAGAGGCGGGGCATAGAGGACCTACAATAATGTACAGTATTTGAAAAATAATGTGTTTTTTGAACATTAAAGCATGTCAACATATTCTGTTACACCAAATACACAAAATAATGATCTTTAAAAAAGCATCATATGACCCCTTTAAAGAAATTAATACATTTATACATCAAGACTATATTAAATTGGTCAAAAATTACAGTAAAGACCATTATAATGTTACAAAAGGTTCTTTTGAATCCTGAAAAAAGCGTCACATTTTACACAAATATATTAAGCATGTGACACTGAAGACTGGAGTAATGGCTGCTGAATATTTAGCCTTGCCACCACTGGAATAAATTACATTTGAAAATATATTAAAATAGAAAACAAATATTTAAAGTTGTAATAATATTTCACAATATTATTGGTTTTACTGTATTTTTTAATCAAATAAATGCAGCCAAAGTAAGCATAAGAGACTTTCAAAAACTTTTGAACTGTAGTGTATATCAGTTTTGCATGGTCAAATACCACATTTTCCTCCAAATCAATCTAGTTCAAAATTAGATAAAGTATCTATTAAAAGATACATTTAAATATTTTTTTTTCTGCTATAGTCAAGGAGATGGCTTTTCTTTTCCTACACGGTTGGTCACTATTGATCCAGAGCAGCCCACTGAATGTCTCCAGCCTGCCGGGTTGGATAAAGGGTGAGGAGCCATTTTTTCTTTCACTATTGGGTGGGCACTAACCAAAACCAGATGGATTGTAATAACTCTCAGTGTGGTTCTTTCCCTCAGTGCTGTAGAAGGTTCTGCAGAGCAAACCACCCCTCTCAGTGAGTCCCAAAACCATCTGTTAGGCAATGCTTTCCACATTGAAGAAGATCACAAAGAGACAGACGTCTTAAAGTCTGGTAGGTTGCATATGTTGCTCTATTCTAGCAAGGAATGAGTGAGAAAAGTTTTGAGAATAACCGTCATCTTGCCTTTCAGATGAAAGTGAGGCTATCACTATCTCAATTGAGAGCGAGTCATAACCAGGTAAGGTGATTTCACACTAAGCACTGTTTGTAATATATGCAATATATACACTATGGTTCAAAGGTTTAAGGTCAGTAAGATGATTTCTAAAGGATCATGTGACACTGAAGACTGGAGTAATAGCTACTGAAAATTCAGCTTTGCCATCACAGGAATAAATTGCATTTTAAAATCTATTAAAACAGAAAACAGTTAATACAATAAATGCCCCCTTGATGAGCATAGGAAACTTCTTTCAAAAACATAAAAAAAAAACTTACTGACCACAAACTTTTGAACTGTATTTATGACGTTCTGATGTCATTTCCTTCTGTAGGACTGAAGCTGGTGCGGGGTGAATCCTCAGTGGTCTCGTGCCTTCGACTCCCAGTATTGGGGACTGTTGAGGAGAATCACAGCCATCAAAGCTGATGCCTTAAACAGCTCTTTTTCTCTGAAAGCTCCTGAACACTTTCCTTTACCCATCGCTTCTGGAGCGTCCCAAATCTGTCCTCACATCTGTAAAATTGCTCCCAGTCCCCATTCAACTATAGTAGCTGCACTCTTTCAACAAAGAGATTTGCACGCATGTCTTTTACATCCATTGTTTTTGCAAAGCAGACTGTTTTGTTGCTCAGGCCTTCACGAGACATGCAGATTTCATGTGCATGTGAACTGATACAGGCGATAGTAATTTCTAAACTGTTCTCCAAGTGTTTACCAGGAAATGCACTAAATCTGGTACCAACTGCTGTTTACTTGAGGGACAGGTGGGAAATGTTTTATTTTCTGGATCCATACCAAGTGAACAGTCTGACTGAGCTCATCTGGAATCCCGTGTGCCACAGAGTTCAGATTTAATGGACACTGCAAAGCGCAAGGTGCTCATTCGGACTTTTATGTTTTGGAATATTATACTTTTTTTTTTAAACTTCATTAACATTCTTCTAAGATATATGTACACACACACGTTCACAAAGTGCAACAGAGTGTGTCCAGGCAGAGGAAAAATGCCTGAAAAAGACTGAAAATCTTTTTTGTGTATTCTTAAGCTGCTCCACTTACGGTGACATTGTTTTTTGTCGTCGTCTTGAGATGATTCTGGTGTGGAATGTTGTGCACACGTCGGCCACTTTACGTATGCCAAATAAAGGGCTTAATACCAGAGCTCTGAACTCTACAGTAGTGTTTACAAAATGTCAGTAATACCTCTCTGCTCATGCAGTGTAGCCAGTGTCATCTTGGAAACCAAATTGAAATCTTTGTAGGTTCCTCCTGCAGTATCAAAACTGGCCAGCAGGCGGCATTTACACTGCTTGATATTGTATTACGCGGTCAGTGGTCTTTGGTATTGTATCACCAGACTATTAGTCTCAATCCTCGATTAAATTATGTTTTACCCTTTTTTTCGTTTATATTTTATACATAAGCATTGTGAATAGCTCTGTAGATTCAGAATACTTATTTTTAAGCCATTTTTTGCAAAGCGGTAAAGGTGAAACGTATTTATATTTGTCGTAAATGATCATTTGTAAACTTTGGTCCAGTGTGAAATAATAATTGTGCCCGTCAGCTGTGACTGTAGCGTGTGCTTACGTGGAACTGATGTGTGGAAATCCAGATGTGTTTATGTACTACAAAGTGAATCGCGGTGATTGCTTCATTTGTGTTGTGACTTTTCTAAAGAAATGCCTTGACAAATCAAGACTTGTGTGCAAGCGTGCATCTGGTGTCGCTGTTCTGGAGTGTTTGTTGTAAATGAGGTTAAAACAAGTAACGTAACCAGTAAAAAAGAGACAAAATAGCTCCATACAGAAAAACAAAGCAGTCTTTCGTGAATTTAGATAGACAGATGATCTTTATTTATACACCTGCAGCATTTTATGGAAAACTTTACTATCTCTGATCTGACTTTGAATGGATTGTAAGTATTACCAGATGGGTTTTATTGTTCATTAAGACATATTTGACTGTTTATGTGCTGAGAAAATCTGTTTATCATTTTTAGCATCAGTGACCACACTTTGACTGTCAGCACAGTTAGGAAGATTGCTGGTGGTTACGAAGATTGCAGCAAGTAATTTTGTATGTGAAATGGTTTAGCTGTTTTTGTGGTGTTAAGGAATGCGTATATTGGTAAAGTTTTTTTTTGTTTTTGTCTTTTGGACAGCCTTCTTATGAATTACACAGCCTTTATTATATTATTATTATTATTATTTTGGCATTCATTACATTTTATACTTTATTAATTACGAAAAAGTAAACATAAAGCCATAATGAAATTATTATTAGAAGATTTGGTGTTGGTGTCCTTGTACCATTTTCTTTATTTCTGTCACAATAGAATAAAAACTGAAGCCTTGTGTTTCAATGCATGTCAAGAAGAGTTACATATTTGATCTGCTGATGTGCCTGGAGGATAGATTTTTTTTAAGTACATCTTTTGAAATGCTCTCTCTTGCGCTCTCTCTCTCTCTGTGTGTGTGTGTGTGTGTGTGTGTGTGTGTGTGTGTACTGGCTTCAAGGGCTGTTCACATGAGTTTTTCAAGGGCTGTTCTTTACCCTGAACTCTTTCCAGCTCATTAGCACTGAGGCCATTCAACTCTTGCAAATCACAAGTTTAGCATGTTAAACATACTGTTCTCATACTCCTTTAACAATCTTTGTAAAAATGTGTATGTGTATTTTCAGTCTTGTGAACTTTGGTTTGTGTGAAGTTGTAACCTAAACCTTCCCAGTTACTGTTCATGCCTGTTTAACACACGTGTTTTGAAGTCCCAGTTTTTGTTTCGATTGCATATAGTGTGATTAGCCTATATCTGTCTGTTCGTCTGCCTGTCTGTCTGTCTGTCTATCTATCTAACGGTCTATTAGTCATTCCCTTCTCAGAACTGAGTTAACTGTAATTTCAGTAGAAATACAAGAAGAAACAAATACAGTGGAAACCAAAAATTCCACAATTGTTACTATTTTTTATTTTCGCGCTATACAACAATAACAAGTTGGTATGAGAAGTTCTTCAGCAGCACTGTGTGAAACTTTAGGCTTTTCTGTCATTTTAATTTTTTTAAATTAGGCATTGACGTTTTTAGTGACTAATATAAACACGATTGTATTATACAATAGTATGTCTTTTTGAAGTTGATATAATGCCTATCTTCTACTTTACCTAATAGTTTTATCATATTCGGTTGTTGTTTTTATCTGTTCGCGTGACGTGTGAGTGTGGCGCTATTGCGCAGGCGCAGTGTAGTCGGATGAAAGAGTTGTGTTTTCATTGGTCGGTGATGCATCAATATTTACCCCTTGCATGGGCGGCTCCTTTAACAAGAGCTGGGATTGCTAGGGTGCTGGGATTCCACTACACACCCAAGTCTACAAAACACCAGCCTGCTTTCTTCTCAGTTTATTAGTTTCATGCATGCTGAAACTAACCGGTGGTGAGGACAGTGGGGTTTCCACGGATTACAGTTTGCCCTGGATCGTGTAAATAAACGCTGATTGTCAAGATGGAAATGTCCAATTTCACACTTTTTGATCCGCGATGCAGGGAAGAGGCTCCGTTCGCTATCGATGTTATTATGCGTATGTATCTATTATTTTTATTATTTTACTTTATTAACAATAACTAGAATGGTGGAAATTATACCGATGTTGTAACAATTTGAATACAAAACATAAAACGTTAGTTTTCATATTATCTATTCTAAATAATGCAGCCAGCAGTCTCCAGATCGGCATAAATTACTGTGGTCACATTCAGTGGCTCCTGAACTTGAGTGCGCATATGATAATGTTGAATGGCACTAATGTGATTCGTTCCAGGTTGTCACCCTCAACTGTAGTAGACTATATTTGTGTCAAACCCTCATTCTTGTTTTAATAGCTCTCACCTTTACTCTAACTTGCAGTAAGAGGGAGGGATGAGAGTATCAGCCGTGATTGTAAACGTAAGGGTTGATTTGTCCTCAGAAGAACTTTGCACAATAAAATTTGCACATGCACAATAACATGATGTTCTTGTTCAAACGACTTACAAGAAAGTGCATGCACTGTGGGGGGGAGTACAATGTTTTATACTTGAAATAATTGTGTAAGTAGTAAAACAACACAAACGGGGCAAAAATGCGTTTTAAGTTTAGAAACATTTTGAGTCTCACAGTGCTTTGGTCCAAATGCCTGCTTTCCTCTTTTACATCACCTACACACACACACACACACACACACAAGTTCGGTGAGAGAGAACAAAGCCAATAGTTGTGGAACTCCAGTAAGTAAGGCTGTTAACTTGTGTCAAGGCTATTTTATTCACTTAAACATCGAATGAAGTGATTGTTTTATCTTTAATACAGATGATGCCAATGTATTTTTCGATGCATCCGCTATACAGCAATAATAACGTTACCTGCTTGAGATAAGGGGTTGCCAGGTTTTCATAACAAAACCCGTCCAATTGCTACTCAAAACTAGCCCAAACTAACCGCTTTTCGAGGGGTCTCCCGGTAAAAATCGTGTTCTGGGGGCTAAAATACACGTTATTGGGGATGCTTCAATCCACGGACATGAAAAACACCTGGCGGCAACAGTGATAAAGTAGCCCAATTCCACAGGAAAACCGCGGAATTGGCAACACTGATGGATAGTAATGTCTACAACGGGCACGAGCGCTGTCACGGCGCGACCACAACAGCTTGAAGTTGTCTAATTTGGCACGGTCTCCCTGCTGCACTAATAGTAAGCCATTCCTCTGTGTATACATATCCTTACAAGTACAATTTTAGCTGTATTATTTGTGTCCCCCCCCCACTGTTAGACGAAATTTACACCCCTCGGCAATTGGAGCATGGAAGTTAGGTAACATCACATCAATGAACAGAATAAAAAGCCAGACACCTGGTTTGTGTAAAGCTACACACCAGCACAATGTGTCAAACATGAAGTATCATTAAAATTACACTGATAATAAGTGATGTAATCTGAAATGGCTTGTTTGCTAGGTTATTCCTGAAATTCTCAATTTAACACTGACTAGATTTTTCCAGCGTACTTCATTCAGACTGGAAACACATGATGGCTTTAAAAAATGTGGAAAGTTATTATTGTTTGCCTCTATAAATCTAGAATTGTCCTTTTATTCCACACAGTATGTCTTTAATTGATTATTTCAGTGTTTTCATTGATTCTAAAATTAGTAAAATAAGGTGATTACATTTAAGACAACTGGTAAAATGTGACACCTAAGCTTAATCATCTTTCATTATTTTCCACTTCTAAAAAAAGCATTAAGCAGTGGTATTTTAGTTATTTACTATTATAGTATGTATTCATATATTGAATTAGCTTTTATTATTATATTTTAATGAGTTTAAGATAATTTGTAAATGGATGGCATGTGTGAGTTTATAAAAATATTGTTTTTGTTGGTCCAAAATAATTTAACATTTTTAATAATTTTAATTTTAGTCATTCTGATATGCGTGTTTGTCTTTATATATATATATATATATATATATATACACTGAACAAAATTATAAACGCAACACTTTTGTTTTTGCCTTGAGTTCAGCTTATGAAAAATGGGGGCAAAAACAAAAGTGTTGCGTTTATAATTGTTTTCAGTGTATGTATATATATATATATATATAATTATATACTGTATATATATAATTATATACTGTATATATATATATATATATAATTATATACTGTATATATATATATATATATTATTTAGCTTTAATATTTTAAGCATTTCATTGAACTTAAAACAAAAATGAGAAATGTTGCCTTTTCAACTAACTGATTTAAATACGTTTTTCATCTAATATTTAGATTTTATTTTTATTTCAGCTTTATTTCAATTATTTTTAGTTTTATAACAACACTGGCATTAAGATAATGCTAAACAAGTATAGTATGACAATGATGTAGCAATTTGGATCTTCTGACGGTGCTGTTTGTGTTCTTCAGAGCTGGATATCTTTGGCATTGTCCTCTTCTCTGTACTGACTTTAATGGCCACAGTGTCCATGCTGGTTTTCACTGAAGAATGCATCTACATCTATAAGAAAGTACCTCCAAATAAGAAAAGTGTAATCATTTGGGTAACCGGAGCAGCACCGGTGAGTTCTATCAGTCAAACATTTGTCCTTTTATCTGCTCTATTATTCATGTTATCACTTATATCCCTCCCTGCTTCTTGTTATTTTACAATCTATTATTTTTTTTTTTAATTCTTAATAATTCATCACTCCTAATTAGAACTGACATGTCAAATATGAGCTTTATCTGTATCCCACCCAGACGGAAACTAAGGCAATGGTACGGTTAGTCATTTCTAGTGCATTACTGTCTGGATGAGTGATTATGAGTCTCAAGTTCATCTTCTTCTGAGGTATTATGTTTATCTTTATCTTTTTCAGGTTATTGCTACCATGTCTTGTTTGGGCATGTGGGTTCCAAGGGCCACAATGTTCACTGATATGACATCAGCTACGTGAGTTCTTAACTTTTCCCCAGTGTGGAATGCATGAAAAAAATAGGTTGTGCCAATAGACTATAGTATCATGTATCGACGATAGTTCTAAAACTAAGTTTAAATATTTAGTTAATAGATTACACTAACATTTGGCTGCTTTTAGCCTTACCCTGGAGTTGGTTCACTCTCCGGCTATGAAACTAATAAATAAATAAACTAGTATATAAATAAATTAGCATGATAATATTGTGTATCTGCGATCTCACAGGCTGCCGATAGGACGATATGACGATGGAGCATATTGCCCAACACTAAAACTAGATAAGTAAAGTTTGTGAACAAACTTTGAAGTTGGCTTGAGAAACCCTAGCCTGAAAGTTTGAAGCAGTTTTAAAAGCTTAAAAGTTTTCAAAGTTGGAAAGTTTAGATAGAATAGATAGATGTTGATAGCATGTTGCTAGCATAATTAACATGTTGCAACCATGTTTTTAGCATTATTATTATGTTGTTAGCATGTTTCACTAGCATGATTAGCATGTTGCTAGCATGTTTTTAGCATGATTAACATTTGCTAGCATGTTTTTAACCTGATTAGCATATTTAAAGGGGTCCTATTATGCTCTTTTACAAAGTCTTTATTTTGTTTTGGGGGTGTACTAGAACAGGCTCTTAAAGTTGAAAAAGTGAAAAAGCATAATAGGACCCCTTTAAGCATGTTGCTAGGATGTTTCTAGCATGATTAACATGTTGCTAACATGTTTTTAACATGATTAGCATGTTGTTAGCATGTCTAGCATGATTAGCATGTTGATAGCATGTTTTAGCGTGATTAGCATGCGGTTAGCATGTTGCTAGCCTGTTTTAGCATGATTAGCTTGTTGCTAGCATGTTTTTAGTGTGATTTAATATGAATGAAATATCCCGCTAAAAAACAGCTAAAACCAAGTAAAACCAGCTGATTTAGTAAAAAACCCCAGCTAAAATTAGCTGATTCAGTAAAAAACGCTAAAAACCAGTTAAAACCAGCTGATTTAACAAAAAAACAGCTAAAAAACAGCTAAAACCAAGTAAAACCAGCAGATTTAGTAAAAAAAAAAAAAAAAGAAGCTAAAAACAGCTGATTCAGTAAAAAAAACTGCTAAAACCAAGCAAAACCAACTGATTTAACAAAAAGCTAGCTAAAAAACAGCTGATTAAGTAAAAAACCGCTAAAACCAAGCAAAATCAACTGATTTAACAAAAAGCTAGCTAAAAAACAGCTAAAACCAGTTGATTCAGCAAAAAAAAACAAAACATAAAAACGCTAAAAACCGGTTAAAAACAGTATAGGCTGGTTGTCTAGTCTTAGCTGGTTTAAGCTGAAAATAACTGGTTTAAGCTTGGTTGATCTTTTAGCAGGTCTCCCAGCTTGACCAGTTAAGACCAGCCTGTCCAGCTAAAAAGTGGCATAAACCACTTTAGAATCAGCTTGGGAGACCAGCCAAAGCAGTCAATCAGCTTCTGCTGTTTTTTTTCAGTAGGAAGTTGTTAAGCTTTGCTATTGCAATAGACAGCTTAAATACACCATAAGTCTCATTGTACAAAAGTTTTCAATAAAAATCTATGGGATTTTTGGTGGTTTTGATAGTCTGGTTTACGAAAACCGTAAGTCAGATCAGTTAGAAAGATAGAGCAACCCGAGTCAGACCAGTCTGAAGGTCTGACCCGAGTTTGGTGGTTGTAGCTCGAAAGCTCTTGGAGGAGATACATTTTAAAATTTAGTCTCAGAAGAAGAAGAAGAAAAAGCTTAAATAGCATTTCAGTAAGTTGGCTTTCTCTAATTCAGTAGTGGTCAAACATTGTTTTCACTCTTCAAAAATTACTTCCTGTTCCAGATATTTTCCAGTGTACAAAACTTTGAATTGCTTGAAAGAATTGTGGATTTGTGTGTGTGTGTGCAACCGTGACACAAATTAACATATTTCTGACTTAATTGGCAGATACTTTGCAATTGTGGTCTTCAAGTTCCTGATTCTCATGATTGAAGAGGTCGGAGGAGACAATGCATTTCTCAGGCACTCAGAGAATAAGTCATTTAAGATCAGCACAGGACCTTGCTGCTGCTGCTGCCCGTGTCTGCCAAATGTCCCCATCACACCGTAAGCAAACCTTAAAGTGTGCTTGTCACGCCATCAGACCCAATCACTGCCACAATGCGAGCCAGTTGGTGGTGGTTGCTATGAAACTCAAATAATCAAAATAGCCCACCCTCTAGTATCTATGACTGGAGACTAGGGCCCACTTGAGGGCCTCAGCAAACATCCAAGGTGGCCTCAAGAAGACTTAAAATGATTTAACTTCAGAAAAAACAAGTATTATTAAAAGCTAAAATAACTAAAAATCAAGGTCTTATTTTAATTCACCTCACCACTGAAGAAAAAGAAAACATTGTTAATTAATTTTAAGTGTTATTTCTAGACCTGGAAAAGTAAAGTCAATTAATAAAATCTTAAAACTCTAAAAAGTCTACATTTAGTAAATTTTTCTGCCAAGTTCCATAATATTTTATTAGGTAGAAAGTAATTTTAGCTAATGATTTTAAAAATGTTTTATGTTTTAGAAAAAAATATTGATGTGGACAATAGACCTTAGTCAGGGTAGTGCCATATTTAAAATTTTTTTTACAGGAATGAGGGATAAAATATGGTGCATTCTGTGGATTGTACTGTTGTTTAACAACACACCAATTGTTCAGCTGATGAAAATTCTTTGAGGAAAACAACTTTCAATAGACGAAAATCCTCACATCCTCATTTTCCATGTTAAATTCGAACGGTTAGACATACAAATAATATTTCAAAGCAGCTTCACCGTTATAAACAGGAAAACAACTATTAAAGTTCTTTAGTTATGAAACATACAATTTCAGCTGTAAAGCAGCTCTAAAAAGGCAATAGTGTATCCATTCAACTCACTTTAGTTCAAAAATAATGTAAAGTTCATATAATTATGAAACAAGCTTAATTCAGCCATAAGCAGCTCTACAGAAGGCAATGTTGTCATTATTCAGCTCAAGTCAGTTAAATGTTGATTCAATTCAGTTCAATAACAGTGTCAGTGTTGCAGAGTTCATCAATTATGACAGTTAACTGTCATTATCCAGTTCAATTTAGTTCAAATGTTGTTCACATCTAATAGTGTCAGTGCAGACCATGTCTTTTAAACCCCGACTGAGTAAGACAAAGGTGACAGAACATCCTAAACAGTAGCCTGTATAGAAATAGATGAATCATTCATATTAACTAAATTGCACCTGCATGTTAAACATTCTAAAACTGACTTCGGAAGTTTGCCATTAATTGCCCATATCTTCGTCTGGATGTCGACAGGATGAGTGCATCTCTGGCCATTCAATTCTTCTGCAAACATGAGGTCTTTATCATGCTTAGTGCGCAACCTAAAATGGGCACCTTGGGGCCATTGCACTCTTTGCTATCTGGAAGAAAGGAGCAGTTTTTTTGCAGCTCCTGGAATCATTGGCTTTATATCAGTGTTATGTAAGACTTCCATTATCAAACTCAAACAGTTGAATGTGATACCTGTGGGTGGGCTCATGTGACTTGGAATGTCAAATCTGAAAAACAAATATTGTGCTTTGCTTTTTCAGAGGATCTCTGTTCATTTTGAAACTGGGGTCCTACCAGTTTGCGCTGTTGAAATTGGTCTTAACTATCCTTTCTATAGTCCTCTGGTCGAATGGCAACTTCAATTTAGCTGATGTAAGTATAGACACTGCAGTTATTTTAATACATCATTTTATTTTTAAATTTGAGAAAGACTTGCAGAGTGTCTCTTTCTCTGGTCTGTAGGTTTCAGCCACTGGAGCAGCCATATGGATAAACTCCTTTATAGGCGTTCTCACCATTATCGCCCTTTGGCCTGTTGCAATCATGTTCATGCATGTGCGAGAGGCATTACGCACCCTTAAAATGGTCCCTAAATATGCCATGTATCAGGTTTGTACTTATTCCTTGCAATTTTTTAGAACATCCTTGGTGTTTAGTATTGCTGGAATGAATGTTTCCAGTGATTCAACAATTATATCTGCCCGTAGTTGGTGCTGATTCTTAGCCAGCTGCAAACTGCTGTCATCAACATACTGGCAATGAACGGGACTATTGCCTGCACACCACCCTACACGTCCCAGGCCCGTGGATACTGTGAGTACCATCATGTGGCAGAATGTAACATAACAATCCTGTTAAATTATCATAGAGCACAGGACTTAAAGGGATAGTTCATTCTAGACATTAAAATTCTGTCATTATTTACTCACCCTCATGTTATTCCAAACCTGTATAAGCTTCTTCTTTCTTCTGTGAAATACAAAAGAGAAGTTTAGCAGAATGAGTTGCTTTCGTCCAAACGAAAGTGGATGAGCAGCTGTCAAGCTCCAAGACTTTGTGGGGAAGTCGTGGCCTAATGGTTACAGAGTCAGACTCGTAACCCAAAGTTACGTTTGAGTCTCGTACCGGCAGGGATTGTAGGTGGGAGGAGTGAATGTACAGCGCTCTCTTCCACCTTCAATACCACGACTGAGGTGCCCTTGAGCAAGGCACCGAACCCCCAACTGCTCCCCGGACGCCGCAGCATAAATGGCTGCCCACTGCTCCGGGTGTGTGTTCACGGTGTGTGTGTGTGTTCACTGCTGTGTGTGTGCACTTTGGATGGGTTAAATGCAGAGCACTAATTCCAAGTATGGGTCCCCATACTTGGCCACATGTCACTTCACTTTTTTTAAAAGCAGCATAAAAGTATCATAATAGAGTACCTTTTGTGTTCCACTAAAGTGAAGAAAGACAGTCATACAGGTTTTGAAAGACATGATGCAACAGAATTTCATTTTATTGGGCAAAAGTTCCCTTTAACTCTTGCTTAATTTGCTTACACCCACTTAAATATTCTGTCAGACATTAATGATTCCTAAAAACACCCTCAATTTCTTTTTGCAGTGATGAGTCAGCAGCTGTTGATTGTGGAGATGTTCATCATCACGCTAGTGACCCGTGTTTTATATAGACGTCAGTATGACCCCATACCAGATCTGGATGATGTTGAGGAGACAAAGACTGTCCTCACCTCAACAAAAGTTGTATATATTGCCTGAGAAGGACAGACTGTTGCGTGTGATTGAGATTTTGCTATTTTTTTGAGGCCAGTTTGTAAAAAAAAAAAAAAAAGTAATTTGTGAACAATGATGGTCATGGCAACGTTACATTTTCTATATGTATGTACATTTACATTTAGTAATTTAGCAGACACTTTTATCCAAAGTGACTTACAAATGAGGACAAATGATGATGTAAAAATGTACATGCTAGTATCTAATATTTTGCCAGTTATTGGGCTGCAGAATTTGACTGTAGAGTCAACCATGGCTTTGAGGGCCCTGATATTGATGTTTACACTTTTTATTGGGTGCGTCAATCTGGGGAATCAGGACTACAAAGCATTAGTAGATCTTGTGAGTCATGGTGCACATTGCTGATGAAGTGAGATAAAGTCATTTCTATGGCTTGATGGTCGGCTGCATGAAAGATTTTTGGAACTGTATAAAGGTCAGGATTCATTTATGGTTCTAAATTGTATGTTGATATATTACCCTTTGTACTGTAAAATGTCACTTCCTACTGTTGAATACAGATTTTTCCAGTAATCATGTCATTTGTTTGATGTTACTGTTAAAACTAAAACTATTTGAATAGGTCATTGAAATAAAGGTGAAGTAAAGTAAAATATAAATATTGGATGCAAAAAATGAAAGATAAAAAATAGAAGTACTAAAATTGATAAAAGTAAACCAATAAAGTTTATTAAAAAGTGATTTAAAAAATAATGCTAGGTCTCAATAATAAAAATGACAAAAGCACATCAAATTGAACTAAACAAAATAACTAAACTTAAAATGAAACTGAAAATATAATAATAAAAGCTAACTCAAATATTAATTACAGCTATAATATATAAATTATACTAAAATAACACTGTTATCTGCACACAACTGAGAACCAATAATAAACTTTTTTTCACGCTCAACTTTTCAGTTGTTCAGACTGGGAGACCTGCTAAACCATTCTAAATCAGCTAAGACCACAGACCACCTTAGGCTGGTTTAATTATTATTATACTTTTTTTTTTGCTTTTGTTTTTTACAGCAAGGTAATGTTTCTGTTTCCATAAATTGAAGTTTTTACGGACAAACAACCGTGTATTGTGGGTCTGAGAATTAATAATATAATCAAAATGGCTGGTTTTACAGGATGATATACACAAAATGTCATTAAAAACAAACACAAACAACCAAACAAACTCATAACCGCTGTTCTGCAACCTAACTTTCCACAGAGGCGTTTTATTCAGGTGAATGAATGGACCAATTATAAAGCACTGTCTTTTTTTCCGTGTTCTTCTCAGCCAATCACAGCACTCGCTGTTTAAATCAAGGTCGGTTGTGTGTTCGCTCTTGTGTACGTGCTGTGTGTTTAGCGCAACAGTGGCCGTGCGGGAAACACGGTACACACGTATAACGCAGTGTTCTGTTATATAAATAATATGAAACGGAGGTGAATTTTCGGATACGGATGTTGCGGTCAGCTCTACTCTTTGGACGATCCCTGCCATGATCCCAATATAAAGATATATTTTTCCTAAACAGCCTGGCATCAGTCGGTTCACATTTTCCCCCACAATGAGACTGTACGCATTTCTTCTGAAGGACCATTTACCAAAAATAGAATATTATTCAAGGTTTTCACCGTCGCCCCTGTCAATAAAACAGTTTCTGGAATTCGGTAAGTGCGAGCGCATCCATCACGTGAAAACTGACAGTCACTGACAGCGGCAGGTCACTTTTGATGTAGCATGATTACGTTGATTGCTTCATAAAATAAGTATGTTTTATAACCCATCATTGTTTTTAGTGTATGCTTAGTGTTCAAATCCGTTGACTGTAAATGCGACAAATCTGGTAAACAAGAACTTTGTGCATTTGGGAAAGAAAACATTCACAGGACGTCTCTATTTTGTATTATTGAGGAAGTTAGTTCTGTTTTTATGACAGTAGGAGATATGACACTTAATAATTTCCAAAGTTAACATTTAAAGATGTTTAAACTCAGAGACTGTTTAAACAGAAGAGTCACACATTAGAATCATTGATGCCATATATGACTAAAAATATATGTATGTCCTTCAGGTATTTATCGTCATTTATCTTGTTAATTGTTTGCATATATTATTTGAGTTGTCTATTTGCGGTCGTTTGCATATGAACCATCTCATATTAATAATATTATTGTAATGTAATATAACTGTCCGTTAATCAAACTGGATTCCCTCTAAGTAATTTAAAAAGAGGGAGAGGCTCTTTATAATATAATGTGAAGTGTGTGATATGAACGCTATGTAGACTACACCTAGGTGACGTTAGTCACAATAAATTTGAAGGTTTTTAATTGGATAGTTCACCCAAAAACGAAAACCCTGTCATTAAATCATATATCATATATCATCCTAAACCGTATGACTGTGGAAAAAGAAAAGGTTTGTGAATTTTCATTTTTGGGTGAACAGTCCACCGAACAATAGGAGTAATGGCACAAAAGGGACTGTCATAATGACACTTATCAGAATACTTTTCAGAATACACAATAGTTTCAAAGCAGTTTTACATAAAGTCATGATGTTAATATTTATAATATCTTATTATCTTCAAAGCTTATAGTTTAGCCTGATTAATGAGTTGTGCAGTATTTGCATGTGTCTCGGGCTTCAGGTATGGACAATAAATCATTTTTTGGCACTTTCCCATCTGTAAACACTGACAGCCTCTCCTGTTTTCTCAGTTGTTTATGTTTCTGGTTGCTGGATTTTTAGGTAGGGATAATGCATGTGAGAAGACGTCTTACATGTTTCTGCGGAAGGAGCTGCCAGTGCGTCTGGCTAACACTATGAGAGAGGTCAATCTGCTGCCTGACAGGCTCCTCAGTCAACCTTCAGTCAAACTGGTGCAGAAATGGTAAGTATAACTGAGTTTGAAATGGAGGATGTCAGATACACATGCTTCATGAAGCCTGAGCCCTGCCAAATCTCTCCACAGGTACATGCAAAGTTTTTTCGAACTTCTAGAGTTTGAGAACAGGAAGCCAGAAGACCCGCATGCCCTGAATGAGTGAGTAGGACTCTTTTTATTATGTTTTTTTTTTTTGCTTTTTGTGAGCCAGATAAACGCTCTTGTTCTGCAGGCAGTTGCACAGCATGCTATTATATTTTCACGCAAAGTGAATTCAGGCCAGAGTTGAGAACAACGGAATCAGATAGTGACTGAAAGCTGCCCTGACAGTGGAAAAGAACAAATATGCATGCTGGGTCAGCGAAAACAAAGGAAGAATCCTACTCACATGACATTTGTACATACAATGGCGTTTATTATTTATACAAAATACTATAAATTACCTGAATGACAAAAAAATGTAGCAAGATTTGGGTGTACTTACAGTTTGCTCTAGCTAAACAATATAATGACTAGGTTAGTGTTAGATATGTTTATTAGCCAGTATTTGGATATTTTATTGTTCATTCTATTTTTACATTTAGATTAACTTTGTCATCATCTAATGCTCACTCATAATTTAATAACACTTGTTAAAGGGGTCATATGATGTTGCTAAAAAGAACATTATTTTGTGTATTTGGTGTAATGAAATGTTTATACGGTTTAAGGTTCAAAAAACACATTATTTTCCACATACTGTACATTATTGTTTCTCCTCTATGCCCCGCCTTTCTGAAACGCGTCGATTTTTACAAAGCTCATCGGTCTGAAA